AAGAAGAAGAAGAAGAAGAAGAAGAAGAAGACGACGACGAAGAAGAAGAAGAAGGTACGTCGAGGAAGAGGACCTATAAAGGGAGAGAATAAATGCAGAAGAACGAAGATAAAGATGATTTTAGAAGAAAAGAAGAAGAGGAGTAGGAGGGAGATGTGTAGATGCTGGAAGAGAATAAGTGAAAAAAGGAAGGAAAAGGTGATATTAGAAGAAGAATGAAGAGGAGGAGGAGGAAGATAGTAGAGGATGATGAGAGAGCATAAATGAAGAAGAGGAGGGAAGAGATTTGAAGAGAGGGAGGAGCAGATGTAGAGATGCTTTGAAGAAAATGGAAATGGAAGTGCGTAGCGGTATTGAATAAGAGGAAAGATAGTAATCAAAAGAAAAAAAATAACGAAGAAAGAGACAATTGATAGGAAGAAGAAGAGATTATAAATATTAGAAATTGCATTAAGCAAAGACGTAACGAACCAAAAGAAGAAAATCAATAAAGGATCGAAGAAAGGTAGTGGGAATGAAGACGGGAAGAAGGAAGGAAAGAAAAAGATTTACGTATTTACGTAAAGGAGAACGTCTGCTGGAGTTCATCTTCCGTGTGGCCGGATATATCATGTATGTATGTATAATAAACACACACACACACACACACACACATGCACACACACACACACACATACACACACACACACACACACAAACACACACACACACACATACACGCACAAACACAACACACACACACACACACACACACGCGCAAACACACACACACACACGCACACACACAAACACACACACACACACGCCAACCCTACCTTACCCAACCCACCATAAAGTACACGAAAAGATGCCTCACAGACAAAGAAGAAAAAAAAGAAAAAAAAAACAAAGAAAAAAGATAAGAAAAACCAATACATAAAATCAAAAACAATAAAAAACCTCAGCTATAATGACACCCGCACCTACCCGCACTCAGCTAAACCTCACCTGCAATCACTCAGCTAATCAAGTCTATAAATAATACAAGTAATTAATGAAAACAAAGAGAGGTGTCGAGCGGGTTCCTTGAAAGTCTCTCAGCACGGGACACAAAGGTCTGCTCTCGGTCCTCGCTCTCGTCGGCGGTGGTCTGCGGGGCTCGCTTGGGAGGGCGGGGATGTGCGTGTGTGTGTGTGTGTGGGGGGGGGGTATGTCTGTGTGTGGGGGAGGGGTATGTGTGTGTGTGTATGTGTGTGTGGGGGAGGGGTGTGTGTGGGGGGGGGGTATGTGTGTGTGGGGGGTATGTGTGTGTGGGGGGGGTATGTGTGTGTGGGGGGGTATGTGTGTGTGGGGTGTGTGCGTGTGTGTGTGTGTGGGGTGTGCGTGTGCGTGTGTGTGTGTGTGTGTGTGTGTGTGTGTGTGTGTGTGTGTGTGTGTGTGTGTGTGTGTGTGTGTGTGTGTGTGTGTGTGTGTGTGCTCTCTCTACTTGTGTCTGTATTTTTTGTCACTCTCATCTCTCTCTCTCTCGCTATCCTTTTCTGTCTGTTTCTGTATGTTCGTCCTTCTCAGTGTTTCTATATATCTTTTTTCTTCTCTGTCTCCCCCTCTCTCTCTCTCCCTCACTCACTACCACTCACTATCTCTCTTTCTCTCCTTGTTAATCGGCCTTGTCTCTTTCTCCATCCCTCCTTCCCTTTTCCTTTCCCTCTTCTCTCTCTCTCTCTCTGTGCAGGGGTGGGGGTGGGTGGGGGTAAGTGACCTTTCTGGAGGCCAGTCGTCGTAGGGGGGGAGGGGTGAAAAGGGCCTAGAGTGACCTTTGAGGACGAGATGCTTGAACTTTTTCCAGCCTGGTCGCTATAAGGATTCCTTTCTTTCCGAGGGAAGGCTTTAAGGAGGTGGCCGTCGGGAGAGGTTATCGCATCGCAACGGATTGATCACTGAAAGGACTTATGAGTTATTTGTGAATCCTGAGGACCCAATTACTCCGCCAGTTACTATTTTCGCTCCTCCGCCGTCGCGCTTCACGTGATATCAACAAAACCTAGCATCACAGAGTCGATTCTTTCTCGTAGGCAGAAAACTATCGATATTGGCGATGACGTCATGGATGGACGTTAGCAGTACCCCTTATTCTGACAGTCGTACGCACCGGATATCCTTAAAGTTATGCTTCTAAGTCAAAGAGGTAACTTTCAGCATGTAAATACCATAATATATGTAGCATGTTTATAATGGGGCAAGGTTCGATATACACAAGTATATTCGACGTATATATCAACAGCTTAACAGGGAGAAAATTCCTTCCATGTCGAATCATTCTAAATTCTCTACAGCACATTCCCGTTCGCGAGCTAATAGCATTTTAGTCGCATACTATAGCTGTTCCTCTATATCACTCTGATCTAAATTGCGCAAAGTGATAAAAGGGGTTATTGTAGTCGCACGAGAGACGGCCTGACTCGATAAAACCCGTCCCAAGCAGGCAGGCCGGCGGGACGGGAGCAGCAGCGCAGGACGACGGTTTTCGGCGCAGGGATACAGGATGCTTCGGTAGGTTACTCGCCATGAGGAGTGCGTAATGAGGTGAGTGAGGCGGCAGGTGTTGGGAGGTAGACTTGCAGTAGCAGGGAGCCTGAAAGTGCTGGCTTTAGGTAGGCGGAAGTTGGGGGTGAGAGCATGAGGGAGAATATAGCACTCTGTCATCATTACTATCACAGCTCGCTTTTTCCTCCCCAATCTTTTATAACACACCTGCTGCCGGTGCTTATCTGCTGCTGCCTGCGAGTCTTCGTGCCGGGCGGCGCCGCTATCATCATCTCTTGTTCCATCCCTCCTCCCTCTTCCTCTTCCTCTCCCGGTATCTCCCCCTCTCCCCTCTTTCTTTCTCTGGCCCTTTCCGATAGTCCCCCTCTTTCTCTTTCGTTTTCATCGCTCTTTCTCTCTCGTTTTCATCGTTCTCTCTTTCTCTTTCTCTCTCTCTCTCACTTTCATCTTTTTCCTTCTCTATCACATTCATATATCTCTCTTTCTCTCGTCTTTCTCCTTCTCTTTTTTCTCTCTTTCTCTTTTTCACTCCTTCCTTACTCTCCCTCTCTCTCCTGCGCGCATTCCCTCGGTTTTCTCTGTTTCTCCTTGATACTTCTCCAATATCTTCCTCTCTCCTACCTCTTTGACCTTTACTTTTGCTTCCTTTCTTTTCGTTCCTCATCATCCCTCGTCCTTCCCTCTCCCCATTCGTAGCGATGTCTCTTGGTCGGCACCCTGGCGGTGAGGGCGCGGCTTGACCAGGCGCTTATTGTACCTTACATGACTGATTGTCCTCTTGATTAATGTGGTTATGCTCTGCCCGGGGCCTTTGCTCATGGCCCGACACGGTTACCTGCAAACAAACAAATGATTACGCACACAAACAAACCAAGCGACAGTAACGCACAACGCATACAGTCCTACCCGCACACTTCCACACTAACCAAGAGACAGCAACGCGCACAGCCCTACCCGCACACAGCCACACACACACTTAACCAAGATACAATAGCGCAGTGTCCTACCCACACATACCCAACCAAGAGACAGCAACGCGCACAACCCTACCCGCACACATACACACACACAAACCAAAGATACAACAACGCACACACACACCCGCAAACACGAACACGACCCCAATCAGAACTCAAGCATTAATAAAAAAGAAAAGCAACAAGGAACTGCCGCGCCAGAGTTCCGATAACGGCAAAGCCTGAACTGACAAATGAATACAAACACCTCGGAGGTCCTGGGCGCAATCTCCAAGAGCGGCGGCCATATTTGGCGGCAAAATCAATTCAAAATGCTGAAGGAACCTGATTGGTATTCCGATGGACTTGCACTCTATATCATAATATGCTGCTGATGAAGAAGTTATCATATAAACACGTAAACATATTGGCTTTTTTAACACTTAGTTTCACATTGCGCGAGGGAACCAAAACGTCTTCACTAGGGTGGCGGTCTGACCTTCTGGAGCACCTGTGGGGAGGCGGCGGTTGGGCGGCCGCCTCCTCCGGAAATGCCAGTAGGCCTGTCCTTTCGGCGTCGCCGGTGAGGCCTACGGCAAGGTGCCTATGGATACGCATTTCATAAATGTAGGTACTCCCTCTCCCTCTCTCTCTCTCTCTCTCTCTCTCTCTCTCTCTCTCTCTCTCTCTCTCTCTCTCTCTCTCTCTCTCTCTCTCTCTCCCTCTCCCTCTCTCTCTCTCTCTCTCTCTCTCTCTCTCTCTCTCTATATATATATATATATATATATATATATATACAAACATACATACATAAATAGACATATACATAAATAAATAAATAAATAGACACATGCACACGCACACACCCCCACACCCATACACAAACACACGCACAAACAAAAACGCACAGACACACACACACAATATATATATATATATATATATATATATATATATATATATATTATATATATATATATATATATATATATATACATACATACTCACTGGCAGCAAGGAGGCCCGCGGTCGTGCCACCTCGCCCGCCACCAATCACCAAGACATCAGTTAGCGTCATCAGCACAAACGCGCCCTTATCGCAACCATCATCTGCAAATCGATCGCCGCGGCCGCTTCGCTCCGTAATTTGATTGAACCGCAAGATTCACGCGCCCTATAATCACTCCAAACCCCATAACGACGCGTCCAAAGAAAGCGAATCCATCAGCCGGAATGATCAGGAAGAATAAATAAATGATCAAATGACTTACCATGTCGATAACTCAGCGAGGGCGCCAACCACCCACGCACACGTACCCGCTCCGCCATAATCACCGGCCAGTGACTAAGTAAGACTTTTTTTTTGCTTACTCTCAGGATCCACCCGCAATACCCGCACCCACGCGAGTCCTAATGTAGCCTAGAGTTCCATCAGCCTTAATGTCTCCCTAGATATCCACAAAAAACGCATAAAAAATCACGCTAAAGGCTGGTCCATTTGTCATCAGTCTGCCGTGACTTATGGGGCTTTCTTTATCCGTCGGTGGCTACACATCTACCGCATCTACCACACCTCATACACAACCGAAAAACCAACCAGTCCGCAACCCATGTCATATTTATCTACCACGCAGCCGGTGTATTAACCAACCGACCAAGTCTTCAACCCGCGTCACACTTATAAACACTACAACCCTAATCCAAGTCTGCAATCCACGCCACTCTACAAGTACCACACTAACTACACTCACCAGCTCTTCAAAACATGTCACACAACCCCAAAATCCCCAACCAACCCACCATCTCAACTCGCTCCCGCCCTACCACAACCCAAAAACCCCACAAACCCACCAGCTCCTCAACTCCGGCCCTCCCACAACCCCAAAACCCCAAAACCCCAACCAACCCATCAGCTCCTCAACTCCGGCCCTCCCACAACCCCAAAACCCCCAACCAACCCACCATCTCCTCAACCCACTCCGGCCCTACCACAACCTAAAACCCCCAACCAACCCACCATCTCCTCAACCCACTCCGGCCCTACCACAAACCTAAAACCCCCAACCAACCCACCATCTCCTCAACCCACTCGCGCCCAACCACAACCCCAAATCCCCAACCAACCCACCATCTCCTCAACCCACTACCACAACCTAAAACCCCAACCAACCCACCATCTCCTCAACCCACTCCGGCCCTACCACAACCTAAAACCCCAACCAACCCACCATCTCCTCAACCCACTCGCGCCCAACCACAACCCCAAAACCCCAACCAACCCATCTCCTCAACCACTCCGGCCCTACCACAACCTAACCCCCAACCAACCCACCATCTCCTCAACCCACTCGCGCCCAACCACAACCCAAACCCCCAACCAACTCACTCGCCCCTACCACAACCCAAACCCCCACCAACCCACCAGCTCCTCAACTCCGGCCCTCCTACAAACCCCAAAACCCCCAACCAACCCACCATCTCCTCAACCCACTCCGGCCCTACCACAACCTAAACCCCCAACCAACCCACCATCTCCTCAACCCACTCCGGCCCTAGCCACAACCTAAAACCCCCAACCAACCCACCATCTCCTCAACCCACTCGCGCCACCATAGGTTAAAACCCCCAACCAACCCACCATCTCCTCAACCCACTCCGCCCTAACAACCAAAACCCCAACCAACCCACCATCTCCTCAACCCACTCGCGCCCAACCACAACCCCCAAACCCCCACCAACCCACCTATCTCCTCAACCCAAACCACAACCCCAAAGACCCCAACCAACCACTCGCGCCCTACCCACCCCAAAACCCCCCACCAACCCACCAGCTCAACTCCGGCAACCAAACCCAACCAACCACCATCTCCTCAACCCACTCCGCCCTACCACAACCTAAAACCCCAACCACCTATCTCCTCAACCCACTCCCGCCCTACCACAACCCCAAAGACCCCAACCACCCCACCTATCTCCTCAACCCACTCGCTCTCCTCAACCCGCTCCCGCCCAACCACAACCTCGCTCCCCCCGGAACTCAACCACGAGCTCCCCGACCCACGCCAACTTCCCCGTAGCACATCAACTCCGGGTATACAATAACTCCAACCAGTCACTCTCTTCCTCTTGAACCCCCTCGAGGGATCTTGTATTACACTCTCTGGGCTCGTCTGCGCTGGCTGCGACGGCGGAGCGGGAGGCCGCGGGGAGGGCTCCCTGGTCGCTGTTTGCTTGCTTGCTTGCGTACGTGTGTGTGTGTGTGTGTGTGTGTGTGTTGTGTGTGTGTGTGTGTGTGTGTGTGTGTGTGTGTGTTGTGGTGTGTGTGTGTGTATGTGTGTGTTGTGGTGTGTGTGTGTGTGTTATGTTGTGGTGTGTGTGTGTGTTGTGGGTGTGTGTGTGTGTGTGTGTGTGTGTGTTTGTTTGTTTGTTTGTGTGTGTGTGTGTGTGTGTGTGTGTGTGTGTGTGTGTGTGTGTGTGTGTATGTGTGTGTGTGTGTGTGTGTGTGTGTGTGTGTGTGTGTGTGTGTGTGTATGTGTGTGTGTGTGTGTGTGTGTTGTGTGTGTGTGTGTGTGTGTGTGTGTGTGTGTGTGTGTGTGTGTGTGTGTGTGTGTGTGTGTGTGTGTGTGTGTGTGTGTGTGTGTGTGTGTGTGTGTGTGTGTGTGTGTGTGTGTGTTGTGGTGTGTGTGTGTGTGTGTGTGTGTGTGTGTGTGTGTGTGTGTGTGTGTGTGTGGTGTGTGCGTGTGTGTGTGTGTGAGCGCGTGTGTGTGTGTTTTTTTGTGTGTGTGTGTGTGTGTGTGTTATGTTGTGGTGTGTGTGTGTGTGTGTGTGTGTGTGTGTGTGTGTGTGTGTGTGTGTGTGTGTGTGTGTGTGTGTGTGTGTGTGTGTATGTGTGTGTGTGTGTGTGTGTATGTTGTGTTGTGTGTGTGTATGTGTTATGCTGCGGTGTGTGTGTGTGTTATGCTGTGTTGTGTTGCTGCGTTCTGCTGTGTTTGTGTGTGTATTGTGTTGTGTTGCGTGTGTGCTGTGTTGCGTTCTCTAGGTGTGTTATGTTATGTCGCGTGTGTCGTGTCTGTATGTGTGTTTGTCTATACCTGTGATTCTGTGTGCGCATTCCATCTACCTCTAGAACCCTCACAGATACTTGAAAAAAGGTGAAAAAAAAACGAGACAGAGAACTTCATAACATTAGCTGGTCACTCCCTTGATCTCTGCCTCGCCGCATGAATATGTGAAGATTGAGGAGAAGAGATGTGGAAGTTAAGATGAAAGGCAGAGCGAGAGATGGAGGCCTTTGCCACCTTGAGGGAAATGGGGGTGGGGGTCGAGTTGGAAAGGCGAGGGTGGGGGAAGGGGGGGTCTTCTTTGGTCTGAATGTATTCACTCATTCATTCATAACATCCCCG